ATCACCATCATCACCATCACCATCACCATCACCATCACCATCACCATCACTGTCGTCGTTGTCGCGAACTGGGGAGACTCGCCGCACCCCCACCCCAAGCGGACACTACCAGACCGCGCGGGCGCGCGGGCGCGGAGGCCTCCACTGGGTCCGGCTGCCACGTCGTGGGCTGCAGCAGGTGCTGCCGCGGCGGTCCCGGGTGCGCGGGCGACGGCGGAGGATGCTCTTTCGCGGGCGAAACTGGGCTGTGGCGGTGATACACCTCCTCCTCCTCCTCCTCCTCCTCCTCCTCCTGCTGCTCCACCTCTTCCAAGCAATCATCCTCAACGCCGGGACCACCACCATCGTTGGCCATTACATGTCTATCATCTCATCATCACATTCATATCATCAAATTCATTATTCGTCATCATCATCATCATCATCATCATCATCACCACCATCACCATCACCATCACCATCACCATCACCATCACCATCACCATCATCATCATCATCATCATCATCATCATCATCATCATCATCATCATCATCAAAAGCATCATCATCGTCATCATCAGCAGCATCATAATTACCACCATCATCATCATCTTCAGCATCAGCATCATCATCAGCATCATCATCAGCATCAGCATCAGCATCACCATCACCATCAGCATCAGCATCACCATCAGTATCAGACTCCTCATCATACTCAACATCATCATCAGCAGCATCATCATTAGCAGCAGCAACATGATCAGCATCATGATCATCATCATCATCATCATCACCATCATCATCATCTTCATGGCAATCATCAGCATCAGTCGCAACTATCATCGCCATCATCATCATTATGATCACCATATTCATAATATGGTGCAGCATCATCCTCATCATCGACACCATCATCACAACCTTCACCACCATCACTATTATTACCATCGCCATAATCACGATCACCAGCATCATAATGATAAGTTGCATCATCATCATCACCATCGTCATAATCGCCATCATTAACATCATCATCACCATCATGATCATCATCATCACCACCATCATCATCCTCATGATCACCAAACTCACCACCAACATCATCATTACCAACACCACCACCATCGTGATCGCAATCATAATCAGCACCGACACCGCAATCAGAATCACAACCATCGTCATGATCATCATCATCATCATCATCCCTATCCTCGGTACTCGCACTGCCTCTTCGCACATGCACCGACAACGCGATGCTTGAAACCCGCACTTGGAAAGAGGAACCGAGGGGAAAAAGAGCAGGCGATCGCGACGCCGGCGCGGGGACCCTTTCAAGACATTGGCGCGCACGGCCGGCGCGGTCCGCGCCGACCGCGGGCGGGAGCTGGCGATCGGTGGCCCCGCGCAGGGACCCGCACGGCCCCAGCAGCTCGCACGTGCATTCGCCGCGGCTGGCGTGGCATCCTCGCCCAAGTGCAGACGAACAAAAAATGCATATCCGCATCATCCTCGCCATCGCCATCGTCATCGTCATCATCATCATCATCATCAGCATCATCATCATCATCATCATCATCATCATCATCATCATCAACATCATCATCATCAGCAGCAGCAGCAGCATCAGCATCAGCATCAGCATCATCATCATCATCATCATCATCATCATCATCATCATCATCATCATCATCATCATATCATCATCGTCGTCGTCATCATCCTCCGCCTCATCATCGCCGTCATCGTCACCATCAGCATCATCACAGTCATCATCATCATCACCTTCATCATCTTCACCGTCATCACCACCATCCTCAGCAGCACCATCGTCAGCATCATCAGCATCATCATCAGCATCATCATCAGCATCATCATCATCAACAGCATCATCACCAGCATCATCATCAGCAGCATCATCATGAGGATTATCATCAGTATCCTCATCGTCGTCGTCATCACCATTATCATCCTCATCACCATCACCATCACCATCACCGTCATCATCATCACGATAACCACCACCACCCTCATCATCATCAGCATCATCATCAGCATAGTCATCGTCATGATCACCGTCAGCAGCAGCAGCATCATCCTCACCATCATCATCATCAGCATCATCAGCATCATCAGCAGCATCAGCATCGTTATCCTCATCAGCATCATCATGATCATCATCATCAGCATCAGAATCATCATCATCGTCATCCGAATCAGCATCAGCATCATCATCGTCATCCGAATCAGCATCAGCATCCGAATCCTTCTCCTCATCATCGACACCAACGCCATCATCATCAAGATTGCCAGCATCGCCCTCGTCATTCCTCCTCCTCTTCCTCCTCCTCCTTCTCGTCTCCCTCCTCCTCCTCCTCACCATCATCATCATCATCATCAGCATCATCATCATCGTCATCATCATCATCAGCAGCAGCATCATCATCGTCATCATCGTCATCCCCTCCCTCCCTCCCTCCCTCCCTCTCTCCCGTTCCATTTCCTCGGCCATCCTCATTCTCATCCTCTCTCCCCCTGGGTCGGCTGGTCCGTGTCGTAGACATCACGCCTGCGTGGTGTCATCTGTCGGAGCATCCACATTCAAACGATCGGACGCCTGAGAGACGCCGAAAACGAAGGCTCGATAAACAAAGCCTCAACCGCAGCAAGCATGAACCTAGCACAGAGAAACCCTGTCCCTTCACAGCGGTCTCCACGATCAATGGTCGCAGAGCTGCCCACATTCCTGACGTGCGTGTCCAGGCCATGGGCATGTACGCCAAGGAACCTGAGAGATGGACGTGCAGCAGCATCTCCGTCAGAGGGAGCCTGGAGAACATTCACGCCCCTTTTCGTTAGAACCAGAGCGATGCACGGGGAAGCCCATCCCGAAACGTGTCCCGCCAGGGAGGGAGAGTGATGCCCCCAAATGGCGGGGATGCCCATCTTCCAACACACATGTAGCATGGAAGCAACACAGAGACGATGAGCGTCATGCATTATCACCTGCTTGAGCACAACATCGCCCAGGGATGTGTCACCAAAGAGATGCTCAGGGGAACAAAGATGTCCCTTGCTTTCCTGGACGTGGGCGGGCCAGAAACACTCCAAAGCAAGAGACGTCAGCACGGCAACACTCCGTCCATTGAAATACGAATTAACGCAATCGTCAACAGTCTTCCCGTCCAAGATCGAGTCCGTACAAGTTCTGGCTATCTTAATCGCAAACGGCGCGATTCCTAAACTTATAAGAAAGGCGTGGGAGAAATAACAAAAGCAATCTTCAGAACTGCCGAAAGCCACAATCTTCTTGCTGGACCGACGGGGGAGACGAGGAGGCAGCAGCTGCGGGGGAGCCCGTGAAGGAGCAGGGGCAGGAGCAGGAAACGATGGGGAGAGAACAAGTTTGGCGAAACAGGAGGACCACACCCGCGCACAGGCAATCGCCTCAGGTGATCCCTCCTGTTGCCGCTGAGCGCAGCCCTGGCCTCCGCCCTGGCAGCCTCCCTCTCCTCAACCGACGGCTTTGTCGGCCTGTTAATCAAGGCATGCAAGCATCCCTTCCCCCCCTCCTCCTCCTCCTCCTCCTCCTCCTCCTCCTCCTCCTCCTCCTCCTCCTCCTCCGTAGCCATTTTGGCTCAAGTTCCCAACGTCGCTCCCGCGCTGGGAGCTTGTGTGCAGCCGAGGGAGCGGCCCGAGGCTCCTGGCTTTTCGCCCCACAGGGGGGCACATTTCACGCACGCCTGCGTCAGCCTGCCCAGGCGTCGCAGGCTTCCTTCCGAAGCACGCCTGAAGAGCGCGAAGCAGTGGCATGGCTGGCGATGGGACCCAGAAGCTCAGCCGCCATGCGCAGCGGCGCCGCGAGCAGGCTAAGGACTGGTGCTGCAAGTTCTGCGTCCACCCGATCACGCAGAACCAGTGGTGGAATCGGTCCGACACGGTGTCGTGCTCCAAGTGCGGGACGGCCAAGGCGGTGGCATTCAAGTGCGTTCGCCCGCCGCCTGGACCGTCCACCAAGCGTGCCAAGCCGCCAGCAGCTAATCCATCGGGCAACGGCTCCGCTGCGGTGCCGCCGTGGGTCAATGACAAGCTGGAGGCCTTGGCAAAGGAGCTCGCCAGCACCAAGGCCAAGCTGGCCGAGACCACCAGCAAGCAGCAGGGGCCGTCCATGGACGTCGACGAGGGCGCAGAGCACGGTGAGGGCCAGGGTGACCCCTTGGACCAGAAGCGGGCTCGCCTCGAGGAGGTCGACGCCGCGCTGCGGGCCATCGCGGGCTCCAGCGAGGCCCTGTTCGAGACGGCTCGCGTCGAGCTGGAGGACACTCGCAAGAAGCTCAGCGCGGAGCTGGCGGCTGCGAAGCCCGTCCCAGCGCAGCTGCGCACCCTGTCCTTCAAGCTGGGCAAGCTCGAGCAGAAGCGCGCCAAGCAGGAGGAGGCCCTGCAGACGGCCAAGGACAAGGCCGTGCAGGCCAATAAGGAGGTGGACGAGGTCACGCAGCAGATCGCCGAGTCCGACGCGGCGATCTTGGAGCTCCAGCAGGAGCAGACGCGGCTTGCCGCCACGCTCCCTCGGCCACCAGCTGGAGGCGTCTCGCCGAAGGCTGACATCGTCGAGGGGCTCGGCGTCACCATCGAGAAGCTGGGCGCGATCTTGGCAGAGCTCGGCGATAGCGGGGTGCTCGCGGAGAAGCTCGGCGCGGTGCTGGGCGAGGTCCGTGAGTACGAGAAGCGTAAGGTCGAGGCCGCAGCGCAGGAGGCCAAGGCTGCGGCCGAGGCAAGGGCGACCCAGGCCAAGGCCGAGCCCGAGCCCAGCCAGGGCGCCAAGGGGTCGGAGGCAGGCCCTGACCTCCCAGACCCCGACACGGCGACCGAGGAGGAGCTGCGCGAGTTCCTCTCCAGCTCGGGCGTGGACCCGTCCCAGGAGACCGAGGAGCTCCGCGGCCAGGTGCGCAAGATCACCGACGCGCTGGGCGGCTGGCGCGAGGTCAAGAGGGCCAAGGTGGTGTCTGCTGCCTAGCCTGGTGCGAGCGCCGCTGCTCCTGGCGCTCCTGCCGCTGGCAAGGGCATCTGGCACCATCGGCACGGTCGCTGGGGGGCTGGACGCCAACCCGCTGTTCGGGCAAGCGTCGGCGGCGGCAGGCCCCAGCCGCTCTCCAGCGGCCCAGGCCGAGGCCAGCGCCGCCCGCAGCAAGCGGCGGGCCCAGC